GAGAGAGAGAGAGAGAGAGAGAGAGAGAGAGAGAGAGAGAAAGAAAGAGAGGGGGGAGAGTCACATCGGGAATATCTATTAGTTTAAAGTCCTGCCCCCCACCATTTTCCATTTTACCCATACGGGTCTCATTTTGTACCTGAAAGGGAAATGACTAGTTCAGCCAAGGTGGACCTCCGTATACACACACACACACACACACACACACACACACACACACAAAAACACACACACACACACACACACACACACACACACAAAAACACACACACACACACACACTCATACATGCATGCGCGCCTATCGTTCACCTAATGTAGTCCTATTTCTCCCACTGCTGGTGTGTGTGTGTGTGTGTGTGTGTGTGTGTGTGTGTGTGTGTGTGTGTGTGTGTGTGTGAGAGAGAGAGAGAGAGAGAGAGAGAGAGAACAAAAGAGAAAGAGAAAGGAGAGAGAGAGAGAGAGAGAGAGAGAGAGAGAGAGAAAGAGAAGAGAGAGAGAGAGATTTTTGTTTGTTTTTTGTTTTTGTCAAGTGTTTTACGGCACTCGCAACTGCATAAGGTCATATGAGCGCGCGGGACACACCTAATATTTCCAGTTGGTAGGACATTTTTAATTTTGCCCCGGTGGCGGCCGAAGCCTACTCTTATCGATTTTAGACCACCAAGGGATCTTTAACGTGCGCAACTTGCACACGGGCCCTCCGAGATTTTTCGCCCTTGTCCGAGAAGACTAGGTGTAGATCTTTCCTACCAGAAGATCAGGGGTGAGGCAGAAAGACAGCAGTAAGGAGGAGCCAAGGAGTAGCAGTAGAAAGGCTGCAGAAAGAGTCAGGAGCTCAGAGGAGGGGGCAAAGGAGGTGAGGGGGTGGGGGCAGAAAGTGGAATTGAAAGTAGACAGCAGAACATTGCTAGAGAGCAGAAAAGGAGCTGAAAGGAGACAATTTTAGAGAATAAAATGTTTCGGTCGCTACCCGGATTCGAACCCGGGACCTTTGAATGAGAGGCCAACACCTTAACCTCTAGGCCACGAGAGCCCCAGAGAGAGAGAGAGAGAGAGAGAGAGAGAGAGAGAGAGAGAGAGAGAGAGAGAGAGAGAGAGAGAGAGAGAGAGGGAGGGAGGGAGAGTGTGCATGTGTGAGAGAGAGTGTGTATGTGTGTGTGGGGGGGGGGGGAGAGAGGGGGGACGGACAGACAGATAGACAGACGGTCTGATATAAGTTGCACTGGGAAAAAAATTACCATAAGGCACATAGCTTCCCTCCATCCAAACCCTGTAGGTTTTTCGCAATATTCTTCATCTCTTGGAAGGAATATCCCACAAAACAAAGGTCACGGATGTTTGTATACGCAAGGCGACATTTCAAAAATAAAATAAACAGACACATCAACATAAAGTGCCAAATCTGAAACAGACATCGGCGACCATGGTTCTCCATTCATTTCTCCGCTCGGATGCTGTAAAAACTCTATACAATGTACATGTACATGTTTTATCCTGATGTTTCCCCGTCACCCAGCTATTCAGGTTTTACAAATAAGTTTCTCTGGATCTACCCCTGCCTCGTTTGCCTTCTATTTTTCCAGCGAGAGCAAGAAGTGTATATGTATATATATGAAGGCCCCTGTTACCTTATAATATGTCAGCTGAAGGGTACCATGGGCGCATCCTTATAGGCTATTTGAGGTATTCAGGTTTGATTAACGAAAACCTAACATAGACATTTCATTATTATTTTTTTAATTAAGATTTTTATTCATTCATTTTTTTTTTTTTTTATTTATGTATTTATCTTTTTTTCAGAGGGGGGGGGGGTGTAAGTGTTTTACGACGCTCGCAAATGCAAGGTCATATGAGCGCGCGGGACACATTAAACATTTTCAGTTCGTATTTTGAATTTTGCCCGGGTGACGGCCGAAGCCTACTCTTATCGATTTTGGGCCACCAAGTTATCACAGTGCACAACTTGCACACGGGACCTCCGAGATTTTTCGCCCTTGTCCGAGAAGGCTAGGTGTAGATCTTTCCTACCAGAAGATCAGGGGTGTGGCAGAAAGACAGCAGTAAGAAGGAGCCAAGGAGTAGCAGTAGAAAGGCTGCAGAAAGAGTCAGGAGTCCAGAGGAGGGGGCAAAGGAGGTGAGGGGGTGGGGACAAAAAGTGGAGACGAAAGCAGACGACAGAACATTGATAGAGAGCAGGAAAGGAGGTGAAAGGAGACAATTTTTAGAGAATAAAATGTTCCTGTCGCTGCCCGGATTCGAACCCGGGACTTTTGAATGAGAGGTGAACACCTTAACCTCTAGGCCATGAGAGTCCCCTAACATAGACTACCCTTGTTCTCTCTCTCTCTCTCTCTCTCTCTCTCTCTCTCTCTCT